ACACCTAGCTCCAGCAGACAAGAGTCCTTTGTCCCACCCTGGTCATTCCACAGATATATAAACCCTTTATCCTAGTTCCAACAGACCTCACTACCTCTGAGGATGCTTGCCATAGATGCAGGCGAAACGTCAGGAGAGAATGCCTCTAGACCATGGCCATATAGCCCGAAAAAACCTACAACAACCCAGTGATTCCGGCCATGAAAGCCTTCAAAAATACATCATGTCATGGTTTTAAAACCAGTTGCAGAAAGTATGGGAAAGCCTGACCTCTTGTGGGGACCTCTTTATTTTACAATCCAATTGGATGCATGAAAGTTCACAAAATGTCAACCTTTGTTGTTATTTGATTTCAACTTGATTTCAGATTATCTGAAAGAGTGACTTCCAAGAGTCTTGGTTATCAGCTGCTCTGTCCAAGTCTTGCACATTCAGAGTTATGGTTTCCATGATTGAAACAAACATGTGTAGTGCAATCTCTTTCTTTTCCTACTGTCTCCCACTTTACCAGATATTATTGTCTTCTCCAATGAGGTGTCTCACAACATATCCAAAGCATGGTAACCTCAGTTTAGTGATTTTCACTTCTTGAGAGTTCAGAGCTGGTTTGTTCTGACTCCATTCATAGAATCATAGAATCAAAGAGTTGGAAGAGACCTCATGGGCCATCCAGTCCAACCCCCTGCCAAGAAGCAGGAATATGCATTCAAATCACCCCTGACAAATGGCCATCCAGCCTCTGCTTAAAAGCTTCCAAAGAAGGAGCCTCCACCACACTCCGGGGCAGAGAGTTCCACTGCTGAACGGCTCTCACAGTCAGGAAGTTCTTCCTAATGTTCAGATGGAATCTCCTCTCTTGTAGTTTGAAGCCATTGTTCCACGTCCTAGTCTCCAAGGAAGCAGAAAACAAGCTTCCTCCCTCCTCCCTGTGGCTTCCTCTCACATATTTATACATGGCTATCATATCTCCTCTCAGCCTTCTCTTCTTCAGGCTAAACATGCCCAGCTCCTAAGCCACTCCTCATAGGGCTTGTTCTCCAGACCCTTGATCATTTGAGTCGCCCTCCTCTGGACACATTCCAGCTTGTCAATATCTCTCTTGAATTGTGGTGCCCAGAATTGGACACAATATTCCAGATGTGGTCTAACCAAAGCAGAATAGAGGGGTAGCATTACTTCCTTAGATCTAGACACTATGCTCCTATTGATGCACGCCAAAATCCCATTGGCTTTTTTTGCCGCCACATCACATTGTTGGCTCATGTTTAACTTGTTGTCCACGAGGACTCCAAGATCTTTTTCACACGTACTGCTCTCGAGCCAGGCAGTCCCCCATTCTGTATCTTTGCATTTCATGTTTTGTGCCTGTGGAATATCTTTCATTTGTCACTGTTGAACTTCATTTTGTTAGTTTTGGCCCATCTCTCTAATCTGTCAAGATCGTTTTGAATTCTGCTCCTGTCTTCTGGAGTATTGGCTATCCCTCCCAATTTGGTGTCATCTGCAAACTTGATGATCATGCCTTCTAACCCTTCATCTAAGTCATTAATAAAGATGTTGAACAGGACCGGGCCCAGGACGGAACCCTGCGGCACTCCACTTGTCACTTCTTTCCAAGATGAAGAGGAAGCATTAGTGAGCATTCATCTGTCTTTTTAACAGTAACCCTGCTATCCATAGGCATTTTCCCCAGCACCTCATTTCAATGAGTGGATTTCCTTCCTGACAGCTTTCTTCACTGTCTAGCTTTCATAACAATATAAAGAAATTGGAAATATCATGGTCTGGGTTGTTCTAATTTAGGTATTTAATTAAGCTTCTGTATGCCTGAAGGCAGGCCCGTAGCCAGGATTTCGTTTCGGGGGGGGGGGGGCTGAATTTTTTTTCAGGGGGGGGGGGGGCTGAGTTTCGGGGGGGGGCTGAGTCTGAGTAAAAGAGGGTCTAGCCTAGCAAACCTTTTGTATCATTACCCCAATACCCCCATGCATATGGGATATATTGAGTATGGTGATCAGATCATGATATGAATAAACATAACAGTTTAAATAATGCACTAATAAGGCCTTTTCGCGAACCACCATGAAAATTTCGGGGGGGGGGGGGGCTGAAGCCCCCCCCCCCCCCCCCCCCCCCCCCCCGGCTACATGCCTGCCTGAAGGTCTTATTGAGTTCCTTCATTGCACACTTTAAAGTTATATAAATAATTTGCCGCCATTATTGTATTTCCCTAATATGTGACTGGGCCCCCTTTTGTACTTTCCCCCTTAATTTTCATTAATAGCTATTCTGAGTCCTAAATTTAACACGTAACATTCAATTACAGGGGTAATGCACGTGACAGATATAAGTGCATCTGATCCAAAGACTGTACTATCCAGTTCACTCTCCAAAAAGGATTCTCCATGCATTTAATCTCCTTTTCTTATATTGGTTATTTATCTTTCATTCAGTCTTTTTGCTTCCTTACGGTAAATGTAAATTAAATTCTAGACCAGTGGTTCCCAACCTTTTTGATCAGGGACCACTTTTACCAAGGACCACTCTCCAACATTAGTACTAAAAGGGTTACGAATCAGTTTTTGGTCAACTTTGGATTTGGTCTGGTTATTTGGGATGCTGATTCAGAAAATTGCATTGGATAGACCACATCAGCTCTACAGAACATATGCTAACCAGTAGTTGCCATCTCCTCGCCCACAGAAAACCATATTTAATAATCTAGAGCTGGTGTGGTAGTAGTAATCTTTCGTGGGTAGTCATCCAATCTCCTCCTGAGATCCCTGTTGCCTTGGTACTATAAGATGGTTTTGCAAGACCAGTCTCTCTCGTTGCCGCATGGTTTTGAGGCATCAATGTAGTAATGGTGAGGCCATGGACCAGATTTTAGTTCTTGCAGACCACTGGTTCTCCGCAGACAACAGGCTGGGAGACAGTTCTGCTCTATCTCCTGACAATAGAAATTCAGTGATATTCAGTTATATTCATTTCCAAATGATAACAACTTTATCTTTCTTGTCTGGATCTGGCATCCCCTTTTTCTTGTCTTTTCCCAAGTGGTCTTATTAAAAGGATTTCCTTTAAGCAGCTTGTAAATATTACAAAACAGGTACATGGCTTCTCTTCAGTCTACTTTAACTATATATTATTTATAAGATACAAAATCAGATACAAAAGTCTAGTGAGGATGAGTGAAGTAGAGTGAGCTGATTCTAAGAACATTTGATGACTGCCTTGGCACACTAACTGAAAGCCAAGATTTATAGTGCCATGTAAAAGCCAAATTTAAATCAAGTTTCTATATTTCTAATTTATTTGCTTCCTGAATTTATACATTTTCAGGACATGAATGAAATTATTGTGCATTACCCAAAACAATTGTCATGTAACTCATATCACCTTTTTGCTGCAACATTATCTCCAAAGACAAATGAAATCAAGGCATCTCTATTTCTCTATTCATTGCCTCACTAACCAAAGAAATGCTGCATCATGGAGATGAGTAATGTATGTATCTACAGTGTGTGCATCCACTAATTCAACCATCCATGCTTTGATTTATTTATTTTTTTTAAAAAAACCCCAAAAGCAAACCTTGAGTATGCCATTTTATATTAGGGTTATCATTTTACTATACGATTGTATATAATGGGACTTTAACATCCATGGAGATCTGCACACTTGGTCAAGACACTTTCCCAAAAGTGCCACTTTTGAGTTGGTTGGAAGAAGGTGATGAGATGCGACAGGCAGCACATAGCAGAAGCATACAGAGATTGTGTCCCCCCATCCCCAGGGCTACCTATGTGGATGGCTGACAGGGCAATGTTCAGGGGGATGTCACAGGATCCCCAGGGAGAACAGACAGGAGAAACCGCCATAGCTATCCTGACAGCATTTCGTATGGCATTGAAATTCATCCTAACAATAGAGCCTTCCCTGAAAGATGCTAACATGAATTCCCCAGCATTTTCCAAAAGCTCCAACCAACTTGTTACTGGAAAACATTTGTGCTGCTTTGTGAGATGGAAAAGAAATGTTCCTGCCAATCTAAATATTCATCATCACCCCGACAATAATGCATACAATACATGACCTACCACAGCACATTCATAATGGGTATCTTCAAATACAAGATATTTTTATTGCTGCCTATCCTTTTATGTAAAAAAAAGCAGTTATTAAAAGTTATTTAAGAGTGATTCATACAGTGTGGTGTCTTCAGCATTGAGATAACCTGCAGCTGAAACTTAATCTGTTTGCATTCTTTTAAAATCAGGTTTTAGGGGACTGGAACACAAGTATCCAATTGCAATTTAAAGAAATATGATTTTGTTTTTTGCTCAGATTGTATTTTATTTGTTCAGCCAAAAAAAGATGCCTGAAAGATGACTCTGTGGCATAATAATTTCAATATTTATTATGCTCTCTGTTTTAGGACATTTGCTTTTATTTTTCATGTCCAGTATCAAGGTTCCTTTAAAATTCAAACTAAGAATGCAGAACAAAGGCACAAGAGTATTATTTCCTCAAAATCTTAACTTTCTGAATTGCAGCATATTAAGGAAAAGAAAATATATTGTCAACAGTTTTTACCACCAGCTTCTTTCAAAACAAAAATACTGAGAAAGAAGAACAGGAGTCTTCACAGCTGTCATTTGAAGAGAAGACTGGGTAGTCAAAACAGGTCATCTGGTCATAGCTTTCTCCCACTTTAGTGAGCTGGATTGGGTAATTACTCCTAAACGAGCATCTATGCAAATAAATAATGACATGCAAATATCATGCCAATTTGTGCCTTCTTTTTCATCATGCATCAAAAAGGCAGGGTGATTGAATGTTTATGAAAGCTAAGAAAGTAAAATAGATAATATTTTGATGGTTTGGGTTTTGTAAGCTATTCTCAGAAGAATCAAATACTATGTATGCATTTTCTCTTAGTTTGTGAACAAAAGCAAATCTTGAGGATGAGAAGGGATGTTAAGGAACAAACGGAACACAAGTTGCTTGTTTCACGTTTCTTTATTGACTGCCACTGACTGAGTTCTCAGATTGTGTGCCAGATATCAGTAAAACAGGTGGAGCTATGTTAGATTTACAGCAAGTTTAAGGAAGATGGTGTGATACACGCAGGCCTGGGAAGAGCTTTGGAGGGGTTTGAAGCCACAGCACCACGATGAGCATGCTTGTCATTGCATCCGTTGCCACTAAGGGAAGACAACACTAGAGCAGATGTTATCTAAATGGATATACGTCTTACTTTAAGAAATATCAGCTGTGCAGAAGAAATGCTACAAAGTCCAAACCCTTTTTGCTTTTACTTTGTTTAAAGGAATGCATGGTACATTCTTTCGAAGTGCCATCCAAGCCCTCTCCCCACTCCCCAATCCACCCACCACTGATCATTTTAGCTCTTGATCATTCCTGCCTCTTACTTATTTTAGGATAGAAGGACTCTGCCTCATTGTTTTTGCAGCAACAAACTCAAGTTGAACAATTGAGAGCTAACACTTTCTGGTTGGCCCTGTATTTGGTCTTGGCAGATGTTCTCAAACCTAGCACAGCATCTGGATCACTTCAGCAAGTACATCAGCCCTGCACCATGTCTTTCATGGCACTGCAATGTATGTGTGTATTTGTGAGGGGGATAAGCTTCAAATTCCTCTAGCTGCTCTCCTAGCCTCTCATTCCATTCAAGAGAAAAATTAGAACCAAAAAGAGAGAGAGAGAAATCCTTCTAGATATTCACTGATATCTATGTACTGGCTTTGTGAATGAGGCCTGCAAGTGGTGACAGCCTGGATGCTTCAGCAGCAGTGGGTTCAGCCTAAGAAGAAGGAGCCGCGGGCTTCTCTTCACGGGTTACGGGAATGGGTCTCTCACTATGGCTGGGGTCTGTGTTGGACTGGACCCTGGGAGCAGAGAAGGTCAGCATGCCGTCAGCAGAGAGAGAGCAGGCAAAAGCTGATTGGTCCACATTGGAAGGGAAGCGGTACCGACGGTGGAATTCACGGGAAATGTACCCATGGTCATCCTGAGAAAAGAAGGAAGAGAACAAGAGACGTTGAAGTGTTAGGTATTGCATCTGCAAAGAGTCAGTATGGTGTAATGGTCTGAGTGTTGGATTAGGATTCTGGGAGACCAGGGCTTAAAAGCCCATTCAGCCATGGAAATCCACTGTGTGACCTCAGGCTAATGATATGCTCTTAGCCGTTGAGAAATGCAATAGCAAATCTTTTCTAAAGAAATCCTGTTGAGAAAACTCTTGAAGAGCGCTGCTGTAAATCATTGTCAGAGGCTACCATCTTGGTTGCTCTTTTCTGAACATATTCCCACTTGTCAATAAACTTAATAATGCCATTCCCCATTTTGCTTCAGCAAACACTTTCAAAAAGTCCTACTGCAGCATGGAGACACAAGTTTTTACTTTCACCTGTTCCAGCAGGTAGGCAAACAAGCCTTCACTCTCCCTCCAGTACTCTATTGGGCCCCAAACTGGAAAAAAAATACATGGCAAATAAATAAGAAATCAAAATCAGAAGTGACTGGATTGTTATCTCTGCTTTTTATTTTGGGTAGTTTGAAGATACACAGGCTTGTGTTCTTCTGACCTATCTAAATACTAAAGTACCGCTTCTGGAGACTTACAGCTGAGGGGAATTACTTTTTAAACATTGACAAGATGGGGTGTAAGGGGGTCACCAAAAGCAAAAAGAAGTACAAGTATGGTCTGTGAGCTATAGTTTGCCCACTCCACACACTCCAATGGACAGCAAGCTCGGTCCTAGATAAATCCTGCACTCCTTGGGTAATAAAGGGTAATAAAATAACAAAACATAAAGTTTGACCATAAAAGAAATAGAATGAGACACATAATAAGTGAACACAGTTATCTTGGACTGAGTGGTATAATTTTCAAGGATAGGTGTAGGGTCACATTTTAAATGCTGCCCTAGGCAAAAATATGCAGCAGTAGAACTTGTCTTCTATAAGATTTTCAATTTATTGACGTGCTCATAGAAATGTACCATAAGTTGGTTGTCATTTAGTGATTTCGCTCCCCAATACATGAAGTCAGAAAATTAATAAATCTCATGTTAACTCCTGTAACTAAAGTTATATTTCATCATATTTCCCCATTTACCCCTCATTCTAAATAATGGACAGTCCTTAAAATCTCATTCTTCACAGTTGATTGATACTATCCCATTTGTCTCTTACTGCCTTTTGATAAAGTGTGCCATTTAAAATTGTTCTCCAGTTCTGCTACTATAGAGACCATATAACACATGAATCTAAATGCGTAGTTTTGTCATTTAGTGTGATGTGGGTTTTCATTGTTCTCAAGTTGAGCGGTGCTGCTGATCTGGAATGAGACATTGGCAGGGTGTACGGGTTCTTTAACCCCTTGTTCTCTGCTTGCATCCTGATCTGTGCCTTGAAGATGCATACACAATTGAGAATCCCATAGATTATCCCATTTACAGATGTTATTAATCTACAAATACTTTCTTAGAACTTCAGAATGCATTGCCACTAATCTCAAAACAGAGCTTGGAAAAGTTTCTTTTGGGGATCCACGATCAGTATGGCTAGGAAACTGCAGTTTTTATTAACGTTTCAAATTTCTGCTAAAAAATCATTGCTCAAACTTTTCCCAGTGTCATACATGATTAAAATTCGAGAGCTGCTTGAAGATTATATGCCCCAGTGATTCCCAAATTTTGTCCATTCTGGAGTTTGGGGATTCATCTCCCAGATGCCCTAGTCACCTTGGCCAACAGTCATGATTTCTGAGGGATGAAATCCAAATCATCTGGAGAACCAAGTTTTGGGAACTACTGCTCTAATCCAACATTTTGCTCAATGCCAAATCTGAAAAAGGGGGTAACTGCAGTATCCCATCTCACCTCTGCCTATATCTCCAGCAAAGGAAAGCTTTTGAGGCACCTTTTCCCCACTCTTACAGCATTTAGCATTTGGTAGTGCCTTATGATCCTTCACTGACATCTACTTCCCTGGATTTTCCAATTTCTGATTAACAGAAAAGTATCAGCAGATCTCACATTTTATATTTCTTAGCATAGAATATACTGATATTATTAATTGGTAGCCTTTAATATAATCTCAATAAAATGTACTTTCATTTTCCCTTCTTCATACCTGTCTTTCATTGTGCTTCCCATGAATTTCCACAAAGTCATCAATAACCTTCACGCTCAAATCTTCAGGGGAGAAGTGTTTTACATCCAAATAGATTGTATACTTGTCCCGGTCAGATCTCACCTGAAATTAGAATGAGGAGAAACAAGCCCCCTCCAATTAATATTCAACATTTTGCAAAACAAGGTGATTACTTTAAGAACACAAAGAGTTGTCCTTATATTCTTTACAAAATTATTTGTAATGGCAAAGTTACTGAAGGTTATTCTAGAGTCTAATGAAATTAGAAGAAGCCTTGTTAACAATTTCTATTTGGAAAAGGAATGCTTTCTGAAAAGGCGGGGGGAGGAATTTTAGTCCCACAAACAAATCCAGCAATTGGGAGCTTCCAGATAAGACAACTACCCTGCTTCATTGATGGAATTTTACAGGATATCCATATGATGTGTTCTTCCAATTGTAGCTATCCTATATTTTCCCAATGCTGCATCTATCTCCCCCTTCCAGCACAAAGCCAGTAAAAACTAGAGATGGAAAGAATATTCAAATTATATGAAAAAGTCTGATTGAAAACCAGTTTTCTATGTAATATTGAGAAAATTGGATAAGACTGATGAAAATCTTTGTACATGGTTGATTGACATGGAAAATATTTTCTGCGCAGAAAATAATATTTCTGAATAAAAAACTATCACTTTTAAGGATTGAAAACATAATATAGATGCCTCTTTTTTTTGCTAGGAACTGCCCATCTGGAAGTTCCCAAAACATGTTTGTCTAAGCTACGAGTATTTCACTTACTTACTTCAGAGGAACAAAACTTGCTGAAAATCAATATTGTGGCCTTAAAAATGCTTTTAAATAGTATGGATTGATACGTTTATAGATGTGCATTAAGGATCCTATATACCAGCTTACAAAAAAAAATCCCTGTCTGGAATTCATTTCATGGCTACTCTGATTCACTCTGCATAAGGTTTTTGTTGTGATGTTCCACTTCACTACAGTTTTCATATAGTTTGAGGCCAGAAAACCCAGGTGTAAATAGAACCATGGAGGTATTGTCTCACTTTGTCTATACGATGACATAAATGCAGATATGCATAGAAAGAGCAAGATCCCTGAATTTAAGTGCTAACTTTTAAAAGTTGCCATAGCTGTTCACCTGCTGAGATAATATTAGATTTCTACACAACACCTTAAACAAGTTTGTAGAATACAACACAAAACAAGGGAACCTATCAGATTTGCTTGATCAGAGTGCATAGCTTGAGAAAGAACCAATCCTCTTTGTAGATAATCTATCTATTCTTTCTGCCACTAAGTAGTGGATCAAGATTTATTATAGCTGTCAGAATATGGTGAATATTTTAGTGTGAATTTATTTCTAATTATAAATTAACTAGAAACTACTTAAGTGTAATTCACATGAAGATTTGCTTTCATCTAAGCATGTAACTCACATTCTCCAATCTGATGAATGCTTCGCTTTCTAAAACTATAATTACAGAATGTCTGAACTTTCTTACTGTTAAGTGATAGTGATATCTATTTTACACCATCCTGTTTGGCAAATAACATATCGACCTTGGTCGTTTAAAAGGTGAGTGGACCAATGAAGCCAACAACAAATCCAGTGGCTTGTTGTTTCTTTGAATTGCAAACCAAAGGAGTTTAAATTGACTCCAGAACATGAAGTCTTACCTCGGAAACACCTGACTCCAGAAAAGTGCGGAAGAACGATTGCCTGTAGTATGGGCTGATGGTCGAGGAAAAGAAAGGCAGGAAGTCATATTCGAAAAAACCTTCTCCAAAATATTGGTCAAACAAACGGCTTGGGAAAAAGGGTCCAAGAGCACGTTTGAACCAGGGGTGCTGAATGGTAATATCCATGGTCGTCTTTGCTGCTGCTGCTGCTGCAAGCCTGGAGGTGGAGAGGAGACAGTGCAGTCACTGTGAGGTGACAGTGAGGTCTTTGTTGGACTGCACAGTGGCGTTTGCGGGAAACGTCCCTCTATATATACCAGGTTCACAGAATGAAGGCATTAGTGGGATTTCTCTGGAAAGACATGATCTCATGATGAAGGCCAATCTGGTCAGCAGAAATTGTAGGGGCTGACCCGAGAATGACAGTCTGGTTAGAATCAGTGCCAGATCTCGCTGAACAACAGCTGGCTGGGCTCTGCAGAATTCTCCCTGGACAGACAGCAGGGACCGTTGCCACTCTCCAGCTGCAAGGGACACCAGCCCTCACTTAGGCAAGGGCATCCCAAACAATATCGCAGCTGACAGGACTCTAAAACTTTTCTCTAAGTTGAAGTTCCCTACTTGTTGCTTTTTTAAGGGGGGAAGGAGGGGAATAATCTGTAAACATGTCTGAAGCCTAGAAGAGATACTTAGCAGCATTTTTAAATAGGGGTTTAGATGAAATTTTACTTTAGACTGAAAGCAACTGAAAGAAAATACATTCATACTGATGGGTGCATTTATTTATTTACTTATTTACTTACTTACTTACTCTATTTGTATCCCACCTTTCTCTACCCCGAAGGGGACTCAAGGCAGCTTTACATATATCAACTATTCAATGCCTTTGGACAACAAACAGTTAAAATACACTTAAATTTAAAATTAAAATTAAATGAACATTAAAACATATAAAACATATACACTGTAGAATGCATGCAATTTGACACCACTTTAACTGCCATGGGTCAAATGCCATGGAATCATAGGAATTGCAATTTCTCAAAGCCTTTAGTTTACTCTGCCAAAGAATGTTGGTGCTTCACCAAACCACAAATCCCAGGATTTGCTAGCAAGGAGATACAGCAGTTAAAGTAGCATCAAATTGCATTCATTCTACAGTGTAGATGCATAACATGGAACCCTGGTGCCAAACTGCAGTCATTCTATAATGTAGATGCACCATGAGTTCAGCAGACTGTGAAGAAAAGAAAATAATACAGCAGCATTTTATGTCAACATAGTTTTAAATTGGGGGTGAATATCATTCTGGTGTTTTAAAAATGAAGTTAGTAGAGCCTTATACTTTGGAGACAGATAAACAACTTAAATCATAGGTTTTATTCATCCAGGTAAGTACAGAAAAGATAGTCTTGTACAATGAAAGGAGCACTGGAAATAGGCCTGTATTGTCCATCCAGGCTGGACCTTCACCACCACATTTCTGATGTTATATGTAAATAGATATCCTCCTCCAATCTCATTTTCTTTGAAGATCTGTTTTCACTTGAGATATTCATGAACACATATGCTTCCCTTATTGGCCTCCTTTCTCCAAAATTGTGTATGTATGGTCAGTGTCTAGTATACATTTAACCTACCTGTATACCTGAAAATCAAGGCAAGCAAAGCAAGACCTGTGTTCGTATAGTCAATGCTGTATCATCTTAAAGAAGAACAAATCTACACACACATGTCATTTATTGCATGCATAACCTAATTAATATTTCTGAAGAGCATCAAAAAAGCGTATGTTGCCCATAGTCCCAAAACCCACACATGCTGCAGTTTTTAATCTGGATAAGCTGAATTATAAGCAGCACTTTGGTTTTCGTTTGTTTGTTTGTTTTGGGTTTTTTGTTTGTTTTGCTTGCTTTGCCCCTAGTCTGGAACTCTGATTGAGCTGACTTGGGGCAGGGGATATCAGGATGGGTGCTTGTTTACTTTCTTTAGGGAGGGAGTTTTAGAGCCTGGGAGCAGCCACTGAGAAGGTCCTGTCATGTGTTCC